TACCATCACAGAGAGGCTCAAAATCACTTTCCAGAACATTCTCGTTCACCATTCCTGGCTGGTGGAACGATCTTCCCACCCCTATCCGGAATGCTGAATCTCTGACAATTTTCAAGAGACAGCTGAAAACTCATCTCTTTCGAAGCTACTTGACTTCATCATAAAAAAAAATTATTACTTACTTATTCCTTCTCTTTCTAGCTTGTACTTATTTGAACAATGTCTAGAAACTTGGTATTACAAGCACTTCCTGTATCTGTTTGCCTCTTTAAGAAGAATCGCTTTATGTATCCCCCAATTGTAAGTCGCTTTGGATAAAAGCGTCTGCAAAATGACTAAATGTAAATGTAATGCAAACAAGCAGATGAAAGGTTCCAAGTCCAACAAATAAACCTAAATGCATTTCCTGCTTTTAGAATATAGATGTTGGTCTCACAATTGCTTTCACTTATTTAAGCCAGGGACTGTAGTTGTCAAGGCTAGTAATTTCAAAAAAGTGCTCACTAGCTTTCTTAAATACTTTCTAGAAACTCAGTCTGGCATACACAACTTTTCCCTGTGTGTCCGTTTGCGATAATGTGCATTCAACATGCCAGATACAAACGAATGTGTCCTTTACGTGACATTTTACAATGGTTAAACATCTAGCAACATTATATTGTCTTAAATTATTAATCATTTCACATAATTAATCACATTCAATAAAATAGAAACAAAATAATGTGACACAGATATGTCATACTAGGACTGTGTTTAAATGTGAGCGGGTCACTTTAAATCTGCAATGATAAAAGTCTTAGCAATTATGCAGTGATGAAATCTAATGCAATTGCATTGTTTTCTCATTGAAGTAAGCTCAACATAAGTTAAATCAAAAGAAAAAAAACATAATGAGCTAATTAAAAATGTATTATTATGAAACTGATGGTTTATATAATTTTTTAATGAATACACTCACACATACATTCATCTAAAAAGCTGTCCATACTTAAGAAATGAAAATCCCAACCAGTGACCTTTGAAAATATAAGAATTTGCCGTTTGAATTTGACTTTCCAAGACTCTCCTTGCAAACTACATACTTGAAGTTTAGTAGCTAATTAAAATGTCCATTATGGAAGGACACTTCAGTTCAATATTGAAAAGTTTTGAATGCCACTTTTGTAGTGACCTGCTTTCCTTCCACATCCACAGCTTCTTCTAAAAGCCACTGGGCTGGCATGACCCAAGTCTCATCTTTAATCTACTCCTTACAATAAACACTTCACACAGGTGTTATGCAAAACACTTGGAGGCTGTTTGGCCTAATACATTAAAAGGCAAATGGAGTTTGTTGGCCACAAGCCCTGCCTAATCCAATGAATAATTTGCTGAAGAAGCAGGTGACATATGAAGTGTTTTCCATAAACACATGGTTATGTTCTTATTCTCTCGTGTCGTTGTGAGGGTGCAGTGTGTTCTGCTTCTGATGGAAAGATCGTCTGACAGTTGCATCCATGGTGCAAGAGTAGTTATGGCCATGTATGTAACAGACATACAGCACAAATTACACAACAGATGGTCCATCTTCATAGACCAGATGGCTAAGCATATCTTAAGGAAAAATCTTGAACGTTTGTAATCATTTCTATTTGAAATAACTATAGACACTAAAAAAACTATAGATAAATAATATTCCTTTGCTATTTTCAATCTTTGCATTTGTATCACTTGAATTACAAATCACAAATCAAATCACACTCTCTCAAATAGATACATAATTATTTTGTTTAATCTATACTACCATTCAAAAGTTTGGATGCACTGTCAAAAGTGATAGAAAAGATATTTATAATGTAAATTAGTTGTATTACAAATATGGTTATATAAACCATCTACTCAACAAATAATCCTATATCACAAAAAAGTATCACAGTTTCCACAAAAATAGCACAACTGTTTTCAATATTGATAATAAAAAGAAAGCAGAATATTAGAATGATTTCTGGAGGATCATGTGACACTAAAGACTGGAATAATGCCTGCTGAAAATTCAGCTTTGCATCAGAGGAATAAATTACATATTAATATATTAAAATAGAAAACATTGTAGAAATTTCTCAATATTACTGTTTTGTGATCAAATAAATGCAGTATTGGTGAGCAGAAGAGACATCTTTCAAAAACAGTAAAAAAAATCTTACCCGCCCCAAACCTTTGAACGTATATTTGTTGGGTTACTCATCGTATAATAAGCACTACAAAATGTGCAGTCACACAGGCAATGTGATCTTGGTGAAAAACACATCAGTTCATTATTATACTATCACCAGATGTCTGCTTCTACCTTCCCATGTTATTAAGAGGGCACAGCTTCAGTATATCTGAAGAGATTGCTTCCACATTAAAAAACAGTTCAGCTGTTTTATGCTAGCATAAGCTGCCTTTGAAGCATGAAATATTTCACAGCAGTGACCTGGACTGTGATTTCCTGGTTGGCTTGCTCCAGAAATACAAATCACTCCCAAGTCCTTCTTTAATATGATCAAATATGGTAAAACAGCAATTTTTGGTGCTATATCCTTCAAAGAAACAGTCTAAACTCCAAACAAATAATACATTAAATAATATGTGATTTTCTGCAGTACCGTGGTGAGTATCTGATACACTCTTCACAGGTTATATGGAAGAAGTTAATACAGAGATAACTAAATTCCTCAAAGGAAATCCTATTGAAAAGTCAAACTGCATAGCTTCTGAGGCTACGGCTGCATATTTGGATTCACTTCAGCAGAATCATCTATGGCCCAGGTTTGAGATGATAAAAGTCCAAATGTGTGGCAATTGACTTCATTTGATATTATCAGGTTGAGCTGGGTTGAATTTTTAAGACAAGACACTACAGGCAAAACCATTGTTTTTTTAATGTAAGCATCAATTTTGAGATTTTGGGCTATTTTGCTCTCATCTTATTTCTTATGTCAGATTAGTGGGAAGAAAACATCCACAATACACATTTACATGTTTATTTTATTACACTGTATCTATTTATGTCTGTAGATTTCAATTACATTACATATCTTTAAAGGCTGTTTTCTAAAAATGAGTTTTCTCCTGCGCCGAGTTAGAAATCTTCTCTTCAGTAGCACTTACATACACCACACTTTACAGTTTTATTCCGATCTATATTCTGATGGTTTTTACATACTCGTTTGTTAATATATCATCATACCTGATTTACCTGACCTAACATTTTATCCCTAAAAATACAGTGATTTTTTTTCTCTGGCTGTTGAAAGTATTTTCTGATGTATGGGGTGATGAATAGTGATATCCAAAATCCCATGTAACTCTAATATGTCAACAAAATAAAACAAGAATTTTGAACCTGGCTTCTGTTCTGGGAATGTATGCAAATTAATGCATATTTAATTACATTATGCCATATTTGCATAATCAAATATAACATTTCAGAATGTAACTTGTAATACAAACCACTGTCTTAATAGACTGTGATTAATCAACAGTGGGACGTATGGTGATATCTATAAGATTAATGTTTACTCTATTCACCTGTGGTTACTTGCCTTAATGTTTCTGTAATGTTATATATCTTCATTTATTTTTGCAAAACCAATTTAAAATATTCACTGTTACTCATATACTTCTAGAAATATTAGCCATTGTTTAAGAGATACATGGATCACAATGATCAATACAGGTCTTAAAAGGCCAATAAGCAACTAAGTGGAAAAGGAAACAGCCCAAGCACAGCATCAAACAACCCTCTAATCATTTTACCCACAAATCTGCTTATCTTCATCAAGAAGTAGTCGATGGATTGTTTCCAAGAGGGAACGGGTTTGTTTCATAGCTAGCTGAATTCTGTCGACCAAATAACCTGTTATTAATCATAGTAACAGCACTCTGTGGTTTTCAGAAAGGGAATGAAAAGAGTAAAAGTGCTGCTTTAAAGTCAGGTGATCAAAACTGAATAAAGTCAATCAAACATTGCAGTTTCCTTGGGAACATGGACATGTTCACCTTCTGTTCCTGTGAATGCTCCCTGCCTTTTCATGTCTGATGAAATGCAGTGCATATTTCTGCATTACTTCTTTCTTTCATCTTAGCTGAAATGCAATATTAATATTAATATTGTTAGCAGATAGTTCCTTAATATGCAGATTACAATACAGTGCACAAATTCTGTTGATGCCGAATACCAGGACTGTGAGCTGCACATAAAACCAGCCAAGAATGCATTTCCAATACGTATTTCCATTCTAAAAAAGATCTTTCAAAACTAGATGGTATCCTTGGATATGCTTTGAAACACTTTTCATACTTTGCACATCCCTTTCATGCTGCAAACCTTCATTGTTCTACAGTCCAGTGCATTTCAAATGGTCCTGCCTGTGTTTATCAGGAAATAACCGGCTTTTTAGAAGATAGCCAGGAACAAAGACCAGCCATTTCTGACTCAACAACAGAAAAAGCTCAGCCAATACTGAGAAAATTGTCTTTTTAGCTCAACCAAATGTCTTTATATCTTTAAATTTGGGTAATTTGTTAAATGATTTCATTCTATGAAAGACAACCTAGGTAGAGTTATGCTTACGCATATGTGTGCTTGTTTGTAGATGTGCACGTGGATTTACACGTGAGTGTGTGCTTGTTTTAGCAAGGCTGTGAGAGTGTAAAGTATTGCTGTTATCCATCACCTCGGTGTCTCCCATCTCAGTAGCTCACATAGAGATAAAGCTATTGTTTATATGGATACAGACAAGACATCATTTTCTTTTGCATGTTCATTGATGTTTGCTTCTGCCATTGTTTTAAACGAATGCTCATTTGTCTGAGTGCAGGAGTCAATTGAATTTGGAAAAAAGACAATTACCGGTTCCTGTTGTGTTGAGGAGTATAATCCTTCCTTCAAGTAGTATTCCTCTTGGTAATTCTATTTGAGAGAAGAGAACACAGTGTTCAGTGATCTTGTGTTATATGGTCAAATAAAATGTGCTTATGCAAGAAAATGTGGTGTTACGATATTCTGTAATGGCCAGTAAATAATCAAATTTAATTAACATCATGATAACATTGGTTTATCTCATAGAGATCATATATTTTCTTGCAAAAATGCTATCCATCTTCACGTACAATACCACCCCCTACCAAATACAAATTGATAATATTATAGTATTAGTTATTAGTTGACTGAGGAGACAGATTATAATCTGATTAACAGACTATGAGATCTGTTTTTATGGAATATGGTATCTACTCCACAGATTTTAATATGATGCCACTGCTGAATATAGTTCAGCAACAACAAAGTATGTCTTTTCATGCTGAGTTTATGTATTTGACATGTATTTTGTGTCACTTGACACAAAATTACAGTCAAAGGGATAATCTTTTTGGGCTGAATCTCTGCAAATTATAGCAATCTGTAACAGATTTTATCACATTTATGCATGAAATATTGATTGTACTCTGAAAACAGGTGACTCGACTTCTCTTTGAAATGTAAATCTAGATTCACATTCATTTCAGATGCTGAGAATTTTGGGTTTATGATTATGCCAACAAGTTTGCTCCAGATGGGTCTGTGTTATGCAGCATTTTAACTATGGCATTCAGAAGCTCAGAGATGTCCATATCATTCACTCATTTGTATTAGAATATATATGACTTAGTGAAAAGAGTAGCTACTGTTGTTCCCAATGTCATTATGGCTTTGCTATAGGCCTCAGTGCGGAATCTGTAATGCAATCTTGTCTCGCTGTTACTCAGATCAACAGCAGTTTGTGCTGTGAATATAGCTGTTACAGTGGGTATAGAGAATAAAGAATCACCCCCCTTTAAAATAAACACATTTTGTTGCTTTGCAGCCTGAAATGAAGACTGACACAGTTTTTGTTGTATTCAGCTGTATTTACTCAGTGCAACTTATAACATCTAAGTGAAAGATATAACACCAACATGTCAGGACAAAAAAAAAAATATATATATATATAAAACAGAATCACTGAGTTGGAAAAAGGATCGCCCCCCTCCTAAAAATGACTTGTAAACTCAATCAGGTGTAGCTAATCACCTTCTGGCACACAAAGCTATCTGACAATTTGTTCCAGGAACTTTTTTTCCCCCAGACCTGTTGCTGTCTGCGTTTCCATCGCGTCTTAACGTACCGTGAAGATTAGGCAAATAGTCTGGTGACATAGATAGGACTGTGCGCGACTGCTCCTCCCAGTCCAGGAAGGGGCTCTAATGTCAAACAACGATAACGTCATACAAAGAGACGGACAATCAATTTTTTTTTGTCACTGTTTTCGGTTCCCACTGGATTTCATGCTCTGCACTGCACCAGCACCGCACCGCAACAGACTTTTAAAAATGGTGGTTGAAATATAATGCTGCGTAGAGTCAACCAATCCAAACGCTGCATGAACTCAACCAATCAGCATGTTCAGCGCCCAACCCCGAAAGTTCCGGACCTTTGAAAAAGTACTACCTTGTGAGCAGGGACTTTCTGAGGGGCAAATTTTTACCTGGAACTTTATTTAGATCCTGGTTCCTGAGGTGGAAACACACTGAGTACCACCCCAAAGTCCCGAGTTCCTGGGGAATGATACCAAAAAAATGGATACCAAAAAATTTCAAAGGCTTTATCAATGCCTAGAAGCACAGTGAAGTCTATTATTAAGAGCACACAAAGCTATCTGACAATTTGTTCCAGGAACTTTTTTTCCCCCAGACCTGTTGCTGTCTGCGTTTCCATCGCGTCTTAACGTACCGTGAAGATTAGGCAAATAGTCTGGTGACATAGATAGGACTGTGCGCGACTGCTCCTCCCAGTCCAGGAAGGGGCTCTAATGTCAAACAACGATAATGTCATACAAAGAGACGGACAATCAATTTTTTTTTGTCACTGTTTTCGGTTCCCACTGGATTTCATGCTCTGCACTGCACCCGC